GCGCACACACACTACGCTCAAAAAGATTCAAGCCAGGCGGCGGCGTTCGCGCGCGTCTCAAAATCGCATAGACTTTAATTACTGATTAACTTGAAATAATTCGCGCAGGCTGGGCAACATATATGCATTAACCCCAAAAAAATGCAATAGTTTGTTCAAGGGATAGCCTAGTTCATCCCAAAATTACAATTCTGTATCATATCACCCCAAAGCTGACTTTCTTTCATTTGCGAAAAACAAATAGTGAATGAAAAATATATTGCTCGGGGCCCCCCCCCCCCCCACCTGAATGAAAAATATATTGCTCGGTCCCCCCCCCCCCCCCATGCTATTAGAATGAACGGGGACTTGAGCGATCAAGCTTCAAATAAAGCTAGGCTACCGTTAAAGTAGTTCAAAAGGTCCTCTTCGTCATACAATAGCATTGTGTGAGGAACAGGACAAAATGGTAGTCTTATTATTTCTATTTCTATTGGATTAGATGATTCACTTCACAAAACCATATCCGAATGATTCGTTCATCAGTCAAACTAATCATTTCTCACTGACTCAGTGATCCGGGGACAGCAGGTGTTTTCGGTTTGTTTCTCATACAAACCTATTGTATGACTTCAGACTCAGGATATATATATATATATATATATTTTAGAAATGTTCCGTTTGTGTTCTTCGGAAGAAACAACAACATGAGAGTGAGTAAAGGATGACAGGACTTTATTATTATTATCATTCAGCCTAACAGTCCCTTTATGGTCCGTGTTTAGTTTCTATTTGGGGCGGACGCATACAATAGATCTAAGATGGGGCTTTCAGAAACGCGCAAGTCTGATGTCACTGCTCTAACACGCTTCTGCTTGTGATGCGGCTGAACCGAAACAGAAACACGCAGCATCAACAACATTACGTCGCGTGTCAAGTCATCCGTCCAAACTAAAAGTTGAAACACGATCCTATTCACTTTTCTGTACTGAGAATCCTTTAAGTTTGAAAGCTTTATCGCAGTCTCCTTGCAGGTGATAAAAATGAATGAATGTGAATGTCCGAGGCGGGTAACGTTAAATATGGCTTAATCTTCGTCAGCTGGAGAGTTGACCTCTTGTTCTTAACGTGAGAGAAATGAAAAGTGTATCACCTGACCTGGCAATGATTGCCAACGAATTACGGCAACGGCTATTATAAGTGTTAATGTTCACTGAAGTAAGGAAGTAAAAAAAAGTCGAATGGTCACTATAGGAACGAACCTGTTCAACACTATTCTCGGATTACGGCAGCGATGTTACATGAAAGAATGGGAAAGTGAGATAATATTTTCATTATAAATGAATTGACATACCTGTTTGAAACACAGCGGCTGCTATGAAGGCACCGAGAAGAGAGATAACCGATCGCATCCTTATAGAAAACCCCGGCTCTCCTTTATAGTCCGAAGAGATTTTCAGCAGAGATATGTAGCCTACGTCTGAAGTTGTTGGACACAGTATCGAGAGAACTCTCTGGTTGAGTGCGTTGAAAGGATCTGGCGGTTGCTCTGTGCTTAGATCGCAGGTGAAGTCTGGGCGAGCAGTGGAGAGAAGTGGAGGGTTGGCCAGCAAATCCCGCCCCATCCCCGCCCCCAACGACTCGCCCTCTTCGGGTAAAGCCCCGCCGCTGTGGTAACGTTTGACATGCTGCTGTTTAATCAGTAGCGCTGGAAAGTCCGAATAATTCTAGCGAATCACTCCTTGTGAACTGGTTCAGGGAGCCATTTAAAAGCATTCTGCAATTCGATCCACACACACAGATCTATAGAGAAATATACTATATAGTTACACAACTACAGTAGAAAAGTATGGGGTCAAGTCAATTTTATTTATTTATTTATTTTATTAAGCAAGGATACATTAAATTGATCAAAGTGACAGTAAAATATATTTTTTAATGTTACAAAACATTTCTATTTCATATTAATGTGGTTTAAAAACATTCTATTAAAGAATCCAGAAAAATGTATCAGTTTCCACAAAAAATGTTAAGCAGCACAACTGTTGATAATAATACATGTTTCTTGAGCATGGAATCACCATATTAGAATGATTTCTGGAATCGTGTGACAATGAAGACTGGTGTAATGACTGTTGATAATTCAGATTTACCATCACAGGAATAAATTGGATTTTAAAATATATTAAAATAGAAAACATTTGTAATAATATTTCAGATGACTTTATTTCTGTAAATATATAATTACTGTCACTTATATATGCAGATAACTCATGAGATTAATTTAGACCAGTTTTATACACAAAGAAAATCTTTTAAAGGGGTCATATGATGCGATTTCAAATTTTCCTTTCTCTTAGGAGTGTTACAGGCTCTTGGTGCATAAAGAGGATCAGTAAAGTTGCAAAGACTAAAGTCTCAAATCCAAAGAGATATTCTTTATAAAAGTTAAGAGTTAACCCCGCCTACCTAAAACGGCTCGTTCTAACACGCCCCCACATATCTACCTCACTATGTGGGAAGATTTGCATAACGCCGCCCAAATGTTCACGCAAAGAAAGAAGGCCTAACTTTTATTCTCGCTGTAGTATTGTTGTTGCCGCTTCCGACATGTCGTGAAGGCGCTGTGTGTTTCGTTGTGAAAGTGAAACTACATTGTTTGGTCTTCCAAAAGAGGACGATATCTGCTTCGTCATGCCTGGAGCTGATCTGTGCTGGTCGCTGAGGGAATACATCAACTTAGTGCTGTGGATCGCCGGATCGGCTTTCACCGTGGATGAAGCGGAGTCCAGCCCGGGGTCATCACATGTGGTTGCCGCTCCTTCTTCGAATCCGCCGGGTGCGCCGTTCTCGACCCCGCCGCCTCAGCTCACTCTAGCCCGGCCTCAGCTCACGCTAAGCCGCGGCTTCTGCTCACGCTAGGCTGCCGTGTTTTTCATTGTGAAATCGAAACTACTTTGTTTGGTCTTCCAAAAGAGGACACGACTACAAATCAGTGGTTAAGTTGTATTTACAACACTGTTCCAGAACAGTTTAACCCAAATATTCAGATGTGTGCAGCACATTTTATGGAGGACTGTTTTCAGTAATTATGTCCCCACTGGATGCAACAAATGCCTCGTTTGTAATGGGTTTTAATGTTTTTGTCTCGTCGCTCCGGCCGGACACGGCATCAACAGTATGGTAAGGGACGTAACATTTCTGTCACACGCTTGAGGTATTCGGCCAATCACAACGCACTGGATAGCTGGCCAATCAGAGCACACCTCGCTTTTCAGACTGATGAGCTTTGTAAAAAACGAAGCGTTTCAAAAAGGCGGGGCATAGAGGAGAAACAATAATGTACAGTATGTGGAAAATAATGTGTTTTTTTTACTTTAAACCGCATAAACACATTTCATTACACCAAATACACAAAATAATGTTCTTTTTAGCAGCATCATATGACCCCTTTAATTTAAGCCATACAGCCCAAGTTATTAGTATGGATGAGATCTTCACATCTGAGGTGTTTCAGAAAACTGGTTAGCATGCACACTTGTTTTATAAATGCACATAATCACACAGAAAACCTCACAACTAATAAAATCTGTGTTCAGCAGTGTCACCCCAGTTTATTTCCCACCTTGTCATCAGACAGAAAGGCTCTGAGGAAGAAACTGACATCAACTGAGTCACACTGAATTGAGAATGAATGAAATGCAGTGAACCACCCCAAAATCAAGGTTATATAATATGCCTTTCACGTAATTTCAGGAAATTTCAGAAATAACATCAGCTCCAAACATTACATTTGCATTTTTTTTTCATCTTAAATGATGAGAGAAAATGTACATACATAAGTGTGAAAATGCATGTACTGTAGTGTGTTGTCATAATGATTACTTTGTCCTATATTTTAATCCAAAATTAAGAGGATGCCCTATCAGAACAAAGTGGTCTTTCACTTTAGATTTTTTTGAATCGCTTTATGTATCCCCCAATTGTAAGTCGCTTTGGATAAAAGCGTCTGCAAAATGACTAAATGTAAATGTAAATGTCAGAGAGCATTCATTCTCAACCACAGTGTTGCTTTCTTTTAAGAGAGAGAGAAAAAATGGCTTGTATTAGTAATAACAGTAAAAGATTAATCTTTTGTCTTCGTCTTTTCAATTTGTTGCAGCTGTTTCATTATGAATAAATTCCTGACCCTCCTAAATGAATGGCCTGAGGGGAAAGACTTCAAGGTCTCCTTATGTTTAGGGCATTAACATTTATTAGCTGTGTTGGTCAATGGTAATGGTCATAAGAGCTGTCTGGTTTTTGTTTCTAATGAAGACTAATTCTTAATATTCATTTACAGGAACTGATGAAGGACCTTACAGGACCCTCCAGGACCCTCCAGGTAAGAACATGGCAATAACATATAATTAGACTTTACAAGACCTCTGAAACCAATTAACAAACCATATGATTGGAGAGCTGAGAACTCCAACTATGTTTTAACTTAAACTTAATTACAGGCACAACTTTTCTAAGTGTATTATTATTAATAGATTAGTTTGACAGGTGAAGCCACATGTTTGGACTTGATGTGAAATATTATGTGGCATCAAGGGGTCAAGGTTTAGCTAGTTAGCATGGCCCCTGCTGGTAGATGACGCAACTACACCATCTGGCAGTAAATTTGTAAATAGTAAATTTTTAATAATATAGCTATATACAGCACATGTTGGTTTAGAAACACTTGCTTCTAAAATTCACCATCATCTATGGAAAGCAGACCAGGTACTGATTATATTAAAAAACAACCTTTGCATACTTTAGTAGGCTATTGATTACTGTATATATAAGAAATTAAAATTTTTTTTTTTTACATCTCACCACTTATAATATCACACATTTATTATTATTGTTTGTTTGTTTATTCGTTCATTATATATATATGTATGTATGTATGTATGTATGTGTGTGTGTGTGTGACCCTGGACCACAAAACCAGTCACAAAGGTAAATTTTTTTAAATTGAGACTTATATATCACCTGAAAGCTGAATAAATAACCTTTCCATCGCTGTATGGTTTGTTAGGATAGGACAATATTTGGCCGAAATATTGAGAAAAATATTGAGAAAATCGCCTTTAAAGTTGTCCAAATGAAGTTCTTAGCAATGCATATTACCAAACAAAAATTACGTTTTGATATATTTACGGTAGAAAATTTACAAAATATCTTCATGGAACATAATCTTTACTTAATATCCTGATTTTTGGCATAAAAGAAAAATTTATAATTTTGACCCATACAATGTATTTTTGGCAATTGCTACATACCTGTGCTACTTATACACGTGTTTGTGTGT